TTCCTTTCAAGTTCCCCACTGTCATCCCAAAAACTTTTTTTCTGAACAATGACCAATAGTTTATTTATTTATTTATTTAATTTATTTATTTATATGCCGCCCAATGCCAAAGGACTCAGGGCGGCGTACAAAATTAAAACAATCATCGAGAATAAAACAATAAAATAATTCAATCATACCGCAAGTCCGATCATGTCCCCCCCCCCCGGGGACATCAGCCCCAGGCCTGCTGGAACAGGAGAGTTTTAACAGCTTTCTTAAAGGCCGGCAGGGTGGGAGTTGTTCGAACCTCGGGGGGAAGTTGATTCCATCAGGTCGGAGCCACCACAGAAAAGGCCCTTCCCCGAGGGCCCGCCAGCTGACATTGTCTGGCCGACGGGACCTGAAGGAGGCCCAATCTATGGGACCTCACCGGTCTCTGGGAACTGTGCGGCAGTATGCGGTCCTGTAAGTAACCTGGCCCTATGCCATGAAGGATTTTAAAGGTGATAACCAACACCTTGAATTGCGTCCGGAGACCCACAGGAAGCCAGTGCAGCTTGTGGAGGATAGATGACATGTGGGTGTACCTTGGCGTGCCCACAATCGCTCTCGCGGCTGCATTCTGAACCAACTGCAGCCTCTGAACGCTCTTCAAGGGCAGCCCCATGTAGAGCGCATTACAGTAATCCAGTCTTGAGGTGATGAGGGCATGAGTGACTGTGAGTAAAGCCTCTTGGTCCAGATAAGGCTGCAACTGGTGCACCAGGCGAACCTGGGCAAAGGTCCCCCTGGCCACAGCCGATAGATGTTGTTCCAAATTTGGCTGTGAGTCCAGGAGGACACCCAAGTTGCGTGCCTGCACTGAGGGAGGTAAACTTGCCCCCCCCCCAGGACTAATGATGGACCATCCAGTTGACTTTTGGGAGGCAAGACCCAGAGCCACTCGGTCTTGTCAGGGTTGAATCTAAACCTGTTCACCCCCATCCAGACCCTCACATCTTCCAGGCACCGGCACATCACATCAACTGCTTCACTGAAAGGACACGGGGTGGAGATATATAATTGGGTATCATCTGTGTACTGATGATACCTCACCCCGTGTCGCCAAATGATCTCACCCAGCGGTTTCATGCAGATGTTAAAAAGGAGGGGGGACAGGACCGAGCCCTGAGGCACCCCATGATCGAGGCGCCTAGGGGTCGATCTCTGTCCGCCCACCAGCACCGACTGCGACCTGTCAGAGAGGTAGGAGGAGAACCACCGCAATACGGTGCCGCCCACCCCCACCTCTCCGAGACGATGCAGAAGGATACCATGGTCGATGGTATCAAAAGCCGCTGAGAGGTCAAGAAACACCAGGATAGAGGAGTGACCCCTATCCCGGGCTCGCCAGAGGTCATCGGTCAGTGTGACCAAAGCAGTCTCAGTGCTGTAGCCGGGCCTGAAACCAGATTGAAAAGGGTCCAGATAATTAGTTTCATCCAAGGATCGCAAGAGTTGGGACGCCACCACCTTCTCTACAACCTTCCCCACAAAGGGGAGGTTGGAGACAGGACGAAAGTTCTTCAAAACAGCTGGGTCCAGGGAAGGCTTCTTGAGGAGGGGCCTCACCACCGCTTCCTTTAAAGGTTGCGGGAAAGACCCCTCCATCAAGGAGGCATTGATTATTGCCTGGAGCCAGCCTCGTGTCACCTCCCTACTGGCAGAAACCAGCCAGGAGGGGCACGGGTCCAATAAACAGGTGGCAGCATTCATTGCCCTCACGGCCTTGTCCACGTCATCAGGGGTCACAGGCTCAAACTCACTCCAGATAACATGACTAAGACCAGCCCCTGGCAACTCAGCTGGCACTGCCCAGTCAGAATCCAGATCTCTCTGAATCTGAGCGATTTTGTCCGAGAGAAACTGAACAAACTCCTCAGCTCTCCCCTGCAAGGGTTCCTCTGCCTCCTCCACTTTAAGAAGGGAGCGGGTCACCCTAAACAGGGCGGCCGGGCGAGATTCTGCGGATGCAATAAGTGCGGAAAAGTGAACACGCTTTGCCGGCCTTATCGCCACTAAATAAGTCCTAAGATAGGCTCTTAATAGTGATCGGTCAGATTCAGAGTTACTGGCCCTCCAACATCGCTCTAGACGTCTCTTGTGGCGCTTCATCTCCCGGAGCTCCTCAGTATACCAAGGCGCCCTCCGGGGACTACCACCACAGAGAGGTCGCAAAGGCACAATTCGATCCAGGGCCCCGGACGCCGCCTCATTCCAGGCCGCAACCAGGGACCCGGACGAGTTGTGAACAAGGGAGTCAGGTATTTCCCCAAGCTCCTCCTGGAACCGATCTGGGTCCATTAGGCGCCTGGGGCGGAACCACCTAGTCGGCTCCTTCTCCCTGTGATGGGGGAGTGATGCTCTGAAGTCCAGCCTCAATAGGAAATGATCTGTCCATGACAAGGGTGAGATCTCTATTCCCCCTAATTCCAGATCATGTCTCCATTGCCCCGAGAGAAACACAAGGTCGAGTGTGTGACCACCCCTATGAGTTGGATCCTGGATTACCAGGGTCAGGTCCATGGTTGCCATGGAAGCCATGAACTCCTGCGCCGCCTCTGAGCGATCGCCGAGTGATGGTAGGTTAAAGTCCCCCAGTACCATAAGTCTGGGGAACTCCACCGCCAACCCAGCTACTGACTCCAGCAACGCAGGAGGGCTGTTGCAACGCAGCTGGGAGGTAGGTACATCAGCAGCAAGCCCAACTGAACCCGTGAACCCAACTTCAATAGGAGGGACTCACACCCAACAACCTCCGGGGCAGGAATCCCAGGAGGATTCAAGGACTTCCTAGCGATGACTGCCACTCCCCCACCCCTGCCCTGATGTTGAGGCTGATGAAGCACCACAAACCCATCTGGGCACATCTCTGAGAAGGAGACACTCCCCTCAGGGCCCAGCCAGGTTTCGGTTATACATGCCAAGTCCGCCCCGCTGTCCAATATTAAATCACGGACAAGGAGGGCTTTGTTGACAATGGACCTGGCATTAAGCAACAGCAGCCTACAACTAGGGCCCTGTACTCCCCTGTCACCAGTACTACAGGATGAGCCTTTTGAGGGGCCGGAACAAGGAATCGCTCTAATATAGCGAGTCCTTGTTCCCCAAAGATGGCCTGCCCCTTGGCTCCCGCCATATCTGCCCATCCCAGTCATAACCGGGATGCTCCGACCTTCTCTCCTGATTATCATATCATTATACATTTGAAATTAGCATTTTCATTTATTCCACTTTAGCCTTTGTGCACATTGTTCTACCTGTTACAAAGAAATGGCACCCTGAGGAATCCATTGACATCATAGGATCAGGTTCTCCCTGATGTTGAGACAAATCCCCAGAATCACAGCCTAATCTTATGCTGAAATACTATAGGCTGAAATTTAGCAGCAGTGAAGTTTCATTTATTTCAAAGTTTGAAAAAAAAATAATAAAACACACCTTCACTCACTTATAATAACATACACACTTGCTGTTCTTAAGTGTGGGGGCTGGAAATGAGAGCTCCATAGCACGGTTGGAAGGATTGGACAATGGAGCCTTTAAAGAGAGCTCTGTATAGTTTGTTTGTTTTTTATCCTTCTTCAATGTCTATTGCACATTCCTTTCTTGTTAGTTTGTTGAGTCAAATGTGACCTAATGCATAGCAGTTACAGTGTTATCTCAGTACCAAAAAAGACGAGTACCAAACAAATATTTCGTCTAAGGAATAATATATTAGTCATGAGGCAATCGACACTGACAAGTTCTAGCTTGTGTGTCGAGTACCAAACAAACAGTAAGTACCAGGAAAAAATGTTCATGTCAAAAAATGTATCAAGTATCAAATTCAATGAGTCTCAAAGCTATTGAGTACCAAAGTGCCACTGTAACTATTAACATTTTTTAACTTTGGTTGCAGACCTCTGGTCTCTGGTTGATTAGATCTTGATGAGTTTCTTCTGGTTTAATGCATCAGTGGCTGATATTAACATGTACCCAGCTGTAAATCCAATTTTTTTCATTCCCAGTCATTTTCTTTCCACATTCCACATGCCTATTTAACTATCACATTTGCCAAAATTCAATAATAAATAAAGCAAAGTTGCTGCAACAAAACCTATTGACACCATCCTTGTACCAAATTGCATTTGCCCTTTAAAAATCCACTTTGAAGATATTCTTTGATATTTTTCATTTTTCCCTTTTCCCCAAACTCAAATAGTTTAGTGTCGCCTCATTGCACATTTCAGTTTACTAATTTCTAATTTGAATGGTATGACAGAAACCAAATCTGAAGTTCGCATGATAGCATCTTTCAATTCTGAGAATTGTGCTGTTACTAATAGTTAGTCCAGTAATATTTTAATGTTCTTACTGTTTAATATTCATTTGAATCCAATTGCCTGGAAGATGTTTCTTCCATCACCATTTTCTAATTGTAAGACATGAAAGTTGTCCTTAATGGTCTCTTATGGCTCTGTAAGGCTGACTTGAGTGACCAAAGCTCTACCATGACTATTTGTTTTTGTATGTGCGTGTTGTTAATATATTGCTAACTCTTTCCTTGTAGCTTTCCAGATTAATTTAAGAAATCATTTGCAAATAGTTATTTAAGAAACTCTGGCAAAAGTGATGGAACTTTTCTCTGGCAGTTTGAGTAGAAATGGATAAAGGGGGAAAAAAGAGAAAAAGAGAGAAGAGGGAAAAAAGAAGAATAAAAGGCTGCAGTTTTGCAGGCTAACTCTGCCCACAGCCTGGAGTTTGATCCTGACAGGGCTCAAGGTTGACTCAGCCTTCCATCCTTCCATGGCTGGTAAAATAAGGACCCAGATTGTTGGGGGCAATATGTTGACATTGTAAACCACTCATAATGTGCTGCGAAGCACTATAGAATGTATATAAATCTAATTGCTATTGCTATTTTTTGTGGGAATAGAGAGGAGAGGAGAGAAGAGGAGAGGAGAGGAGAGGAGAAGAGAAGAGAAGAGAAGAGAAGAGAAGAGAAGAGAAGAGAAGAGAAGAGAAGAGAAGAGAAGAGAAGAGAAGAGAAGAGAAGAGAAAACCATCACCTTGTTGCTGCTTTTTTACTTAATTAGTTTTGGATTCTTTTTCTCTGGCCATAGAGACTTTTCCATTTAAGGGTAAGTTATTTTACCTGGGCAGAAGACTGGAAATAGTTGTTTCCCTGTTGAAATAATGTGTTAATATTATTTTTGTCACTTTTTAAATCACCCCATAATTAGGCCATGTAATTTTCTTCCTACAGCAATTATAGGAGATTGGTTCATTACATGCAGTATTTTGCCACTCCAGAAATTACTGTTTAGTGAAGAGAAGAAAAAAAAATGGGAGGTGATGATATGTGATATAAAATCCCTCTAGGTGGTGTTTGATCTGTGATGACCATTTCTCAAATGCCAATCATACTTGAGGTAATTGTCATTTAGTAAGGAAAAACGAATGTATGAATCTACTCTAGATGGTGCTGGGTTTGCTTCCAAAGTCTTTAATGTGATTCAGGTTGAATAGATTTGCATATAGTTAATATGAAATCAGATTTATGAGTTTTGCTTTTTTTTAGGTATAATCTCTAGTGTCATCTGTTCTATGCTTTTTTTCTTTGTCAGATTATTCTTGTGGCTAGTATCAAAAGAACTTTTTGGAGCTCTATGTTCATTTTTGCATTAATTTATTCATTCACAAGTTGGTGCTTGTGAAATCCTGGTTGATTATTATGAAACAATAAAGTAACTCCATACATTTGCAAGGAAGAGAGCAAGGAAGCGCCCTATTCAGTTTCTTAAATTAAATATTAATGTGTAATACTTTTATCCTTACAATGCTATCTGGTGACTAAGAATTAAGAATTAAGATTTTAAAATGAAAAACAATATAACAATGCTAAAAAGAAATAAGCTAAACAGAATAATTTATCTGAGGACAAGCATTGTGATTTAAATAGGTAATCAAGATTCAACATGCTCTGGTGTGATTATTTTTTTTTTCCATTTCAAGTTGTGAGTTCAGTTGCTTATATGGAACAATATTTCCTCCTGATTACAAATTATACAAAACTCAGTTTTTGTTTCACTGAAGTTAGAAACTGTTGAACTCTGATTGTATTAAAGTAGAAATATAGTTCATTAGAGAATGAGCAGTTAGCATGTAATCGTCCTTCAAAAGTCAATTAGATTAGCAAAAGCCTTTTGAAAATTTTAGTTGAACCTATTGTTGAGTGGTTTTTTTGTTTGTGTGTTTTAAAAAGGCTTTTGCTAGTCTATGCTGGCTGAGGAATTCTGGGAGCTGAACTCCACAAGTCTTAAAGTTGTCAAGGTTGCAGATCCCTGGGTTAGACAAATAGTTAACCATTTTAAGACAACAGAAGACTATTAAGATGGATCCAAGCTTCCCTATATCCTGTGACTCATGTTTGTTCTTCAAAATCAAAGACAGAATGAAATGATCCTTGTACCTATGGATATACCTGATATTTGTAGTTTGTTATTAAATTATCTGTCTTTCTTTGGACAATCTGCTCCTTATAGGCACTATAAATGTAATGTGGCCAAGATTTGTCAGCATTTACCTCTTGGAAAGCAAGTGCAGTCAGGTATCCTGAATCAGTGATGTTTTCAGGGGGTTGAAATTATCGAGAAGTGAGCAGCAAGGTGGTTTAGAGGTGAAGACACTCGCCTCACATTTGGAAGCCTGAGCATTCAATCCTAGGCAGCGGCAGATGCTTCTCTATCAGGGCGCAAAAAAATAAGTATCTGCTGCAAACTCTGCATAGGTGTCAGGAAGGGCATCCAGCCAGTAAATGCTCAGCTCTATTCAGTCACCCTGCATCCACCCCAATATAAAGGGATTACAGGATCAGAAAAAGAATACATATATTTTTATATCAAGAAGTGGAGAGAGTATCAGGATACAAGCCTCATATTTCTGCACGTGTGTTGCATACATATTTCAAGGGGGAGCCTTGTATCATGACACTGTCATGGTTCCGACAGAAAGAGATGAATAAAGCAGAATCAGAGGCTTGAAAATTCCTCAAAGAACATGTTTATTAGTTACAAAGTATGTCAAAAATGAAACAAAATCTGAATACAAATTGCCAAACTACAAAGTTAAATGTCCCACCTTTAAAGCCATGCAAGCAACTACGTTCCCCAATATCTTATTTTTGGGCTTTTTATGCAACACCCAGTCCCTGGTCGCAAGAGCAACAGATGACCTTGGTTCCCAAGGGACAGAAGATTATTTTGACTAACGAAGCACCTGGGCAACCCCCCTCCTCCATTTTATGTGGCAACCTAAAATGAGAAGAAAAATATGGCTGCAGCCATGCTCATTGTAGAGTTGACAGTCACTTTATCCAGTATCTTCCTGGTTTTGACTCTTTCCCCCTACACAATGAGACTATTGTACTTAATCACTTAGCATGCTTCTTTCACTTTCAATACTTTGTACTAGACATAAATTTCATCATTTAACTTATGTGTAAGCAGGTGTAACTGAATTTTCCAATTACCCAACATACCTGTAGAGAAGTCCCAAGAGAATAGATACTGTTCCTTAATCCATTTTAATCCTGGCTAATACAATTATTCTCACTCCACTGTCTTATTTTCAGTCCAGCATACAGATGATTTGATTTGATTTGATCACCTAAGCCTTTTCCGTTTGGAATCATGCTCTGAGGATTTAAGGGCTTATAATATATTAGAAGGTGTTTGTAACTGCAATTCAGAACAAACACATACATTTTTAAGATAACCGTGATTAAATTGATGTAAAGTGGATAAGTAGAATTTTTATTTCTCATATGTATTTTCTATTGATTTCATCTGAACTTTCTCTTGTTGTAAAGTATAATATATATATCAATATGGTACTGAATGGTGATTATGACCAGTAATTGGTAATGATCAATTAGCAAGAACTTAAATGTTTCTTATTGCACATTCTTGGAACAGCTTGGCAAAGTAGTGATGTGTGTGAATGAGTCAGATATACACAGACATATGCTCCATTATTTCTCCAAGTTGTCTTAGCAGTCTGGAAGAAAAAGACCAGTGATTTGTTTTGTTTTTTTATTTTGTTTTGTTTTTCTCTAGCAAAAATCCTCTTTCATGTATCATCTGCCCTTTAATACAGAAAAATCTAGAATGCCAAAACTGCTATCAATAATTGTTTCTGAGTAGAAAAACAAAGTGTCAGCATAATTCTGAAAAATCTATTATATTTGGTAGGAAAATTAAGAGACACGAGTAAGGCATACAGAGGACCATACAGGCAATGGTCCAAAGGAAAAGGATCTAGATATCTTGATGGACTATTAAATATGAGCCAACTGTGTGATGTAGCTTCATGGGGGAAATAAAATGTGATCTTAGACTGCAGCAACAGAAGCATAAATTAAAGCTCAAGAGAAGGCATTGCTTTTCTTTAGTCCAGAAAGGACATTGCACCTGATACTGCATCTGATACAAGCCTCATATTTTAGGAAAGACAGTCATAAACAAAAATGGATCCAGAGGTGGTCAACCAAGATGACAGGGAGGAAGGGAGGAAGGAAAACTATGAGTTGACATTATAAAGAAGTACATTTTAGATGGGCATCAGAAACACTTTTCTATTAATTAAAATTGTCCAGCAATACAACAGAAGACCTTGGGATGTGATAATTCTTTGATTCTCCTGGAAGCGTTTAGAGGCTAGATGACCACTTATAGGACTGGCTTTAGTGAGGGATTCCTGACCTGGACAGGGGTTGGGGGGAGGGGTTGGACTACCTTATTTCAAAAGGTGTTTTTTAATCCTTAATTCTATGATTTTATGCCATATTTCCACCATATTCTTTTCATCCTCTTTATAAGAAATTTGCAAGTTCTCTAAAAATGAATCAAAGCCTCTCATCCCTGGATCTGACATATTTCCATACATTATCCTCCAGTTGCAAACCAATTGCATCAGTACAGATTGTATAAGCTACTTACTGTACAATCCCCTATAAATGGATTCAGAAGAAAGCCATATTAACTTCAGTGGCATTTATCTACAGTTAAGTCTGCAGATGATTTTCGTCTTACCCTTTAACTTGCAGAGGATGAGCGGTTTTTAGAGAGAGAAACTATTTTTTTGTTTCCCCTGGATCCTTGTTCATGGATTTCTGGAGAATTATAGAACTGATTATGAATCTAATATTTATCAGTTTGTTTTTTGAAAAGTCCCTGAAGCCTAAGCTAAGAATAATTACTTTACAAATGGCAATTTCCTGGAACAAGTAATAGAGCCTTGTCACCTTCATGTCTGGTTTATGAGTTTTCAGAGATGTGGGCTATCATTAAAACCCAAATAGTAAAGAAACCTAGTTTCACCCAGTAAGACTGAACCCATTTTCTTTTTGGATTGATATTTACTCTGATTTGTTAGATAAGACCCATTTTTAAAACACATTTATGCTCCAATGCAGAAGTAAATGTTTTAGTTTAATCCATAGAAATTCTTTGTTTAAAGGCTAGTTTGGAGTTCAGTAAATTTTCATCCCTATTCTATTTGCCCCTTTATCTGGCCTTTTTTTTTTTTTTTTTTTATGAATGTCACATTTATCCAGTTGGTAAACACTGACACATGCAGTAACATCCTGGTTGAAAGATTGGACAGAGGAGGGGGATTTAATCCTGTTTTCTTCCCTGCCAGCCTCTAAAGATTGAAATGTAAATGAAACTACTTGTGTTCAGTTTTCAAGTTCAGAAGCAGACTCACATTTAAACTTTCCATATTTCAGTGAGTGTATATTTTACATTTTGAAAACTTATTACAAATCTAACTTCTGCATCTATAATATGCAGAGTTCCACTTGCATTTTTATCTCCAATTTTGTTGGATGCGACATTGAAACTGATTTTATAATAGATTGGAAAATTTCATTAAAATATCTAAATAGCTCCAGCAGAGAGTTGCTTTCATTTCAATCTAGGTTATTTCCTTTTAATTGAACTGAGGTTGTTATTTTTTTTTCCCCAGGAATGAATTATGAAATAAATGAAATGAAGATTCTAACCATTAAGTGAGAAACACTCATCAGTGCTATTAGCCTGGCTAATTGGTTTCAGTTTAAATAGAAAACTAGCTCCATTCATACTCAATCATTTGTGATCTTTCATCTGTTATACTGCTGCATCAAGTTGTTTAAGTTGATATGGTAATTGAAAGATAGATGGTGATTCAAAATCATATATAACAATGCTCAACAGGTCTGTATGCTTGTTTGCATTCATTTCTGGCTGCTGAACTTTTTTTCTGGAAATGAAAGACAAGAACAGTGTGTACTGTTTGAAGAGAATATCCCATCATGCACTTAGAAGAGTCTTCATCTGTGCTATTTTCTCTTCTTAGAGAAGCTTAGAGAAACATTTCTTCTATTTTAAGGAATAGAACACTGATCCTATGACATCAGCAGCCATTCCTTCAGTCCTTATACTCGTCTCAGGATAATTTAGCTTCTTAACAATGAAATGAAATGAAATGAAATGAAATGAAAATTCAAATAAGCATACAGAGGAAAACCTTTCAAGAAATGGAATATTTTTTGTCCAAATAGGTTATATTAACACTGCAGTGCTCTTTGTTAATCTTCAGATTTGCATTCAAGCCACACGATGCAGTCCTCAAGGGATACTTAACCAATGAACTATGCTTTTATTGTTGAGTTTATTTATTGCATATTGTGTCAAAATCTATTTTTAACCAGGGAAGCATTTTCAGAGTTCTGGATATCCCCAATATTTCTTTCTTTTTCTTCTGAATAAATAACCCATTTATTGATTGAAGTCCAATGAGCTCACAATTTTTATAACTCTCCAAATTTCCCCGCTTTGTTGTCACTTTTCATGAGTTGATTCACAGTGCTCAGTAATAAAACATTCTTGCCTCCTCTTTTTTCAACTTAAATTCCTTTTAAGTATCAGTCTTAAAATATCAAGTTTCAAAGATTTATGTTCCTCTATACTTCCATCAAGTAACCATTTAATAATTGTCTTTCTAGTTTATTACAAAAAATTAGCACATCAAGGTAATGTTGAACTGGAGACTTACCAAGATGACTCCATTGTTGAGGTAATCATTTTTATCCTTTCTCTCCTATGGTCTGTATCTTTCAGTTTTATAATACTTATTAATATGGATTTTTATTTTTATCTTTATTAGTTGTCTTGTGCACGGCCTAGAGTTGCTTTTAGTGAGGTGGCTATATATATTTGCTTAATAAATAAAATAAATTAAAAATAGTTCCAAATAGTACTCGCCCAATCCCCAAAGTCCTCTGCAAGAATAAAGTCTTCATTACTAACCAGATCATGCCTGAAATGTAATATTCTAAAAGAGCAAAGAAGTACTTTTATGCTGCATGTGTTGATCTTTATCACTGAAACATGTAAGATTCATATTTCTTTTCCCCAGATTTATTGGATCTCAATGGATTATAAAATGAAGGTTGAAGTAAGCAGGAGTACTACAGGTAATGGATTTCACCCATAAAGAATTTTAAAACTGGCATTAAATTGGCATATGAATAGTATATTTAAAATTTTCATAGGATTCCAAATTCATGCAGTTTAGATCATATTGCTATTTTCATGCCAAACTTGCTGAGAATGTGTAGGTAAAAAAAAAATTAGAAACAAACAAATAAATAAAGCCAAATATTATGGTTGTCATTATGCTTTATTGCTGTAAATTTGGTACTTTACTATCCAGAGCTCTAGCCAAGAAACATAAATATTTTTTCCATAGAGCCAGAACCCTTTTTTTAGAAAGATAAATTGTATGTCTTTGATTTTCAGCAAATAATTTGCAGTTCATAGAAAAATGTCTTTGCTAATCCTAACCCTTTACTAATTTATATTATATAGTTATTGAGGAACTTTAACTTTTCTGCATCCAAAGGACTTGACCAGTGACATTTGCAGAGTGTGTTTGTGTATATGTGTGTGCATCACACCAGTCTCACCAAAGCAGCGAACATTCAGTCCTTTTGTATAAGTGCCGTGTCATCACACTCATATTCCCAAAGGCAGAACTTATGACACAATGTGGCTTTTTTCATTTTGATGAAAACAACAGGACTGGGCACATACTTATGGATCTAGCTATTATAGAACTTTGCAGGAACATCAGCATGTTTTCCCCCCAAGAAACCAAGACATGTACCATCTTTTTTTTTTTTTAATCGAAACAGATCATTAACCACAGAGCTAAAGGCCAGTATCAGAAATTGGGGGAGAATAGAAATTGTCAAGAACAGAAGTATGTTTGATCCAATACTTCTTGCTTTTCTCTGACTTTACCGCATACCCATTAATGGCTGTGCAGTAGACAAAAAGTTAAATTTGTGCGTGAGGGAGGGGAACCAGATAATCTTATAAAACAGTCTTAGTTTATTCTTTAAAAATCAACAAAATGAGCCTCAGGGAAAAGAAGACAGAAAAATATCTGATTGACATTTAGATAAATATCTTTCTGGGAATCCCAAGATTGCTGGGAGGTTTAAAAAAATCAATTCCAGAAGGCCATAGCAAATCATGTCTGAAACATTACCAAAATGTCCATGTTCAATTGTGTTATGTTCCAGAGCCAATGCAGCAGCAGCCAAACAGGGCGCCACCATTTTTTTTTTTTTTTGCCATGTATATGTATACATTCGAACTAGACTGTGATGCTTCTCTGTGTCATATGTGTATGTGGGTATATACATAATGGTACTTTTTTGAGAGCTGAATGCAATGAAATTTCATTTTAACGTACAGTATGCTGATTAGTGTACATTTAAAATGACAATAAAGTTTTTATTCTATTCTATTATTCTATTCAATTGAAGGGTGTCTTATTTTTTAACCGTTAAAAAAAATAGTAATGAGCAACAACAGTGATCATTATCTCGTAATAAATGAGTACTTTCCAATAAGCCAACTTTTTCCTAAAAACTAAAAGCCATCCTTCAACTTCCACTTGAGATAACGTGACAACTGGTCTACCAAGGGAAATTCATAAATAACATACCTTACAGAAAATTCTAACAATAGATTATGCTTTAATTAAAATTAGCACTATGAGTAGAGGACAATTTCACTTCCCACCCTATTCAAAACAGTTATCCTGGGGCAGAGTGAAGTAGGCCCTGAGAATGCAGGAATTCAAGGGGATGAAGAATCAGCATAAAATGCTTCCTATTGTCCTAACCAATGAAGAACCTTTATTCATGGAGCGTTACTTGGAAACAACCAATTGCAGTTAAGGCAATACTTCTGGATTTGTCCACTGGCTGGACTGCTGCTTCCCAGCTCTTCCCCAAATCCTAGGAATAGCAACTAAGTATCTCACAAGAACAACTTACCTATGAAAATCAAAAAGCATATCAAGTCCTGTCCCATTTTTAATTCATAAATATCACATCCAATATATAGGAACAATATATTTTGGTCGTGCTTCCCTTCTTCCTTTACAAGTTATTTCATTTTATACATACCTATTTATTATTATTATTTTTTGGACAGGGATGGGTGAATCATGCACACCGTGTTTCCCCAAAAGTAAGGCCTACCCCAAAAATAAGCCCTAGCTTGGTTTTGGGGCGTGGCCCTAATATAAGCTCTACTCCAAAAATAAGCTCTAGTGTGGGGGCAAGGCACACACTTAAAAATCAAGCTAGGGTGGGGGTGGGAGTGTGGAGCTGCCCCATGCACCCTGCGCCCACTTACCTTGCAGCCAGGCCTCTCCTCGCTGGCCCACTTCTTCTGCAGCATCTTCCACAGCCAGGCCTACATTTCTCAGTCACAGGCCTTTCCAGAAGGCCTTTCCAGAAGGCTTGTGCAGCCAATCCATAGCTGGATACTCGGCTGCAGAGCTCTTATGGAAAGGCCTGACTGCAAAATGCAGGCTAGAATGCAGCTGCAGAATGAAGCTGCTCCTTCGGCCCCAGAAGAAGTGGACCAGCTGGGCAGGGCAGTCAGTCCTGGGGGTGAGACATCCCCCAAAAATAAGACTTGGTGCCTCTTTTGGAGGCAAATAAAAACCAAAACCCAGTCTTATTTTCGGAGAGTAGATAAACACTTGGATTCAATAAGCTGTTTATTTGTGTTTGTTATAGACAGCTTTTATTTATAATTAGCTCTGTCTTTAAATAATGCCCAGTTACTTTTGACTTTATCAGTTTCTTATTGGTTTCTATTTTCTCTTACCAAAATGAGCTCTGGTTTTTATTTATTTCCCCCAATAGAAATCTTTTTCCCTCCATTTAATTCTGGCTTAAGTAAGTAAGAAAGGAAGTAAGATAGAGATACATACACAATCTTGTACCCCTAGGAGGTGAAAAAAAGGGCTAATTAGCCTAATTCCTACATTCTGCTGAGGCAGATGGATCCTTGTGAAACTCCTGTTTGTGTTGCCAGGAGGAGAGGAAATCATCTTTGAAGCAGAGCTTGGCATATTAGATCAAATCTTCTTCTGACTTTCAGAGCATCTGCAGCATCTTTGAATCATATGTTTTAAAATGAAAACTTGTCTGTTTATCATTCAACACCAATCAGTAGCAATTGCCTTTCTTCAACATATTGCCTTCTCTTTGATCTTTTCCTAATAGGGTAGGAATGGTGGTGCTGGTGATCTCAATTTGCATGTTTCTAAATATGCTAAATTAAACAACAATGACAACAACTAACAGTGAGCTGGCAGGTCATACAATTCAGGTCAATAAAAGTTACCGTATTTTCCGGTGTATAGGACGACTCGGCGTATAAGACGACCCCCGACTTCGGAGACAATTTGCATGGTTAGAAAGTCATCTTATATGCCAGACACTACTGTATTTTCCGGCTTATAAGATGACCCCCGACTTTGGAGATGATTTGCATGCTTTAGAAAGTCATCTTATACGCCGGAAAATACGGTGTTTTTTAATCATTGAATATTTAATTCATTCTGCACTATGGGATATGTGGAATTGAGGGAATGGGATCTGTGTTACAACATTATGGTTTAGAGCTGGACTCAATCAAACAAAATTAGGATTTCTAACTGAATTCCCCTCTTTTCTCAAAGAAGCAGAGGAGAGAGTTAGTTGAAGTCTAAAAAGCTTCAAAAAGGCAACATTTTACTGTTAAAGCTAGTCATAGCATAGAGAAAAGAGAGAGGTGTGCTGGGTTAGGGTTCAGAATTTTTCTTTCTTTCTTTCTTTCTTTCTTTCTTTCTTTCTTTCTTTCTTTCTTTCTTTCTTTCTTTCTTTCTCTCTCTTCCTTCCTTCCTTTCTTTCTGATCCACTTACATGCATATGTGTGTGTATGTGTGTGTGTGTGTGTGTATGTATGTATGTATGTGTATGTGTATATATATAAAAGAAAAAATGAACACCAGGATATAATAAACCAGCCTATTTAATATAAACAAGCATGTGGTTAAAAAGAGTTACTAAGCTTTCGTCCGGCCAAAAAACTGCCGGTGTCATCAGAGTTAGAATAGCAGGAGATTTGGAAGGCAGCTCATATAACCTCCTGCCTCTGCGCTCGGCTCCTTGAGTGCGTCATCAGCCCATTGATTGTGTTAATCCTTATCACACCGAGTTGTTACGCATCAGGTAAACTGTCTTTGACTCCACTGGTTGTTTTACGATCCTCAAATGCTCTTTTTGAGTGTGTGCAAGCACTTGGAGGGCGGCTGTCAATCCGTCCCTGTGCCCAGTCCCCCTCCCTCCCAGGGCCATTATCCTCCCCCACCCCCAAGGCCATTGTCATAATTCCTCCACCCCAGTCCTGCAACAAGCAGCTGTTCTGGCATTCCTGCTCTCTGTCTTCCCCCTCCCTCCCCCTCCTTCCAGATCACCTCAGTGCTTCCATCCCTGGTTTAAGGCCATTTGGTCCATCATCTCGGTCCATGTGAGTCGTGGTCATCCCATCTATAGAGCCATCGTCCCAATTATGTAAAACACTGTCATCTTCTTCCTTGGAGATCGTGCCTGTCTCATCCATCATTCTACCACCCCAATCCTGCCAAGAAAGAGTTAAATGTCTTCTCAGTAGGCTGTGGTGCTCCTAAGCGTCTGGTAGGCCGGCACAAGGTCTATATGCCGGTTGATGGAATTTTCATTAGAGAGCCAGGCTTCCTTAAGTAGGCGGCCACCCTTGGTAGTCTCACGAGCTGTAACCTCTGTGTTAGCTAGATCAAAAGTGTGGCCAGAGCTGGACATATGGGCCCACACTTGTGAGCATTGCTCCTGTCTTCTAATAGCCAGTTCATGTTCATGAACCCTGGTCCTCAGTCTTTTAGTGGTTTCCCCAACGTAATTGCTTGCACAGTCCTTGCAATTAATTCTGTAAACCACAGATGATCTTTGACTGTTGGGGAGCAGTTCTTTTGGATGCATGATATATATATCTTCAGGCTGGTGTTTTCAGCTTCGTGCTTTGAGCAGCAATGTGTGGTCTTAGCTGTTTCTTCCTTTTAACTGCCAGTTATATATATATTCTATCTTCTGACATGTATATATTTATCTCTCCATTTTTCTCTGCTTGAAAGTTATTCTAGATTGATGAATGACATGCCAGAAAGCATCAAACTGGAAATATGATTTCCCATTGCTCAGATGGAGTTTTTATAAAACTGGACCTTATCAGGATATATCCTGGTGGAGCTTTAGTCAAAGTAAGTGAATTGCCTTACATTTCTCTGTCTGTGTGTTTCTTCTTTTACCAATGATTTATCAGCATTACTGTCCTTTCTATCTCTCAGATAGTGAGAAAATTCTTCGTTCAAATATGGGTGGGTCTATTGTGATCCAAAGGCAGATGATATGTTTCCCACAGAATAGGAAAGGGTAGTAGTGAGAAAATATCTCTCCTAAAGTTAATGAATAATTGCATTAAATCAACTTCTAACCTGAAGTACCTCCAGACTTTCTGAACTTCACTTCTCAGCATTCCAAGCTGGTTGTGAAATCTGTGTATTGAACTCTGATATACCTGGAGGTTAACAACTTCAGGAACGTTGTTCTGATTCACTTTTAACAACTTGCCTATTCTGCACTACACCTTCATTAAGTTGTTAAAAATAAGTATGGTCTATGGTAATATTTTAACTAGAAGAGAGCTTCAGTTCTTTGCAAAAAGATAAAAAATGCTCCTGTAATAGCCATTCAAATATACTGTTTTGCGGGGGATGCATTTGTCCTGAAGGCAGATGGCAATGTCTTCTAGAACAGCTGTGGGCCATCACTTTTCTGCACCGAATTCCAGATGCTGTTGACAAGTTGTATGTAAATCATGCTGACAATTTGTTCAGCCTCTTTCCTGCTGAGATTGAGGTGCTCAATTTGTAGAACTGGTCCTATATAGTATAGTATTATCCCAGAAACCCACTTTTTTATTAATGAATATATAAGAATACAAGGGGAGCTATGATTTGATATTGATCTCTTTGAAGAAAAGTGATTTGTTTTAATGACACACAAGATTATGTTTCCCTAGACTAGACAAAATGTAAAAAAGATATTGGTTTGACTACTACTACTACTACTAGTAGTATTGCTATGACTTCATCTTTCTCTTTGAAACACTGACATATATTTTCCTGACCTTGTATGTTAAAATTACTTTTATCTCAAGGATGTGACATATAACAGAGAGATTATGCATTTATTACTGAATAAATGTCAAATGTTTCACTTTGCAAAACTTCTTTAAAGCATTTGCATAGCGAAAAGTGGATTTACAACCTGTATCAGCCAAAAACCTTTCTCCTTCTGGTTTTGACAAGGCAGGACATTTAGATAATGTTGAAAAGTGGAAATTCCAGAAGAGATCCTTTCTTTAATTAACCTGTCTCCTGAAGTCAAAAAGAAAAGGCATTTAACAGAAGATTAAATAGCATCATATATTAACCTTAGATAATATCAAGCTTCAAGGACAAAGATTTTAAGGGAGTGCTGTAGAACATAAGACCAACACAGGAATAGCTACAACATTAATGTTTACATCTCTAAAGAACTTTGAATGCAGAGGGTATTTTCATTATATGGCCTAGGAATATTCTGGCTAAAATATATAGACCTGTTCTAGGGAAATGGATTGTCATATCACTACTATAATTCCATTTATGGTGCAAGACTTTTTTTTTTAAAGGTTGCCTACTAATAGTGCTTGGAAAATTAGTAGCTAGAACTTTGTTACCTTAGATACCTCTGTTCATGTCTAATTCTACAGAGAGGAATCACATGTTGAAAGAATACCTGGAACCTTTTTCATTTCCTGTGGTGAACAATTGTGTGCCCTGTAAATCAAGGCTCCCCAGCTCCCAGGCCACAGCCTGGTACGAGGCTGTGGCCCATTCAGAACCAGGCCACGCAAGCTTGTGTGGAACCATCCCCTCTCCTCCCACCACCACCACCACCCCGGTCTGCAAAGCTGGAAATGTTGGAGACCACTGCTGTAAATAATATAACAAACTCTTGAAAGAAACATCATCATTATCATATGAAACCTGGGACAGAGCTTGACACAGATCCCAAAACCAAGAATAGGAGCAGAAAAGGAGATAAATCCCAACTTTTACTTTTTTGGTAAAGTGGGATTTGTAAGAGCCCCACATATGTTTGTGTATATAAAGCAGTGGTTCTCAATTATTTTCTGTCATGCCCCCCCTAGGAAGAAGAAAACATTTCGTGCCCCCCCGCATGACTGTCTATCCAATCGGGTCCTTTGCGTGTGTCACGTGCGTCCAATATGACAGTATTTGCCGAGGTCAAACGAGCCCCCCTTTACGGAGCCTCGCGCCCCCCCTGGGGGGCCCGCTCCACTATTTGAGAACCACTGATATAAAGAGAGGGAGAAGAGAAGCTGGATTTCACTTGGTTTTAGTGAAGTAGTATTATTTCAAAAGCATTTGTAGAAATATTTTCCCATATAGTATGTGCTGACACTAGACATGTACAATATCTCATCCATTGTCTTGTTTTCCAATTAACACAGAGAAACTTGCAGACATTAAATGAACATCAGACTGAATATATGAAATGAATTGTGCAGGGAGTTCTCACTTAATGGCATCCTTGTTTAGGGTTAGGGTTTTCAGAGGAATAAGCTCACAGTGGATAATCATGCTTTCATGGCATTCTGGAAAGCCAGCAGAGAAAGGGCCATCTGGACAATAACTGATAATTTACTTCTTTGATCTTGAGATATGACATTCCTTTTAGTGAAGGGACATATAAAGAATCCATACTACCTGATCTACTATTGATTGAGTAGATACTACTAGAAATAGATATTTGTAGAAAGCCAGTGCCTGGCCATTGAAGGGGTTTAAGGTGATGATCAACATCTTGAATTGAACTCAAAACAAACTGAACAGCTCTCATAGTAGTTGTGTTATATGCAGTGGTGGGATTCAGCCAGTTTGCACCACTTCGGCAGAACCAGTAGCTAATTTTTTGTTGCTCAGGCCCAGAATGGACTTCTGGAAGTGGCATCCACACAGAGAACCAGTTGTTCACATATTTGAATCCCACCACTGGGCAAATTGACTGGTTATATGGGTAAATTATGATGTATCAATCTAATCAAGCCATCAGAATATTGATCAGCTGCATCTTCTGAATTTGCAATCAAGACATGACTAAGTTACTGTATGAGTTATTCTAAGCAGAGCTTCCCATTCCAGAAGACTAGCGCAAAAGAGCATTGTGAATGTTTTCCTGAGTATAACTGGTATCTGCTCATCACATTCATCATTAATTAGCTGACTTTTGTTTAACACTCCCCCCCCAAAAAAACCCGACTGTTTCTCTTTTCACACTGATTTTTTTCCTTTAAAATTCCCATTTAACATATACAGAAAATCATTTTGATCTGCTTGTGCTGTCAGATAATTATATCTAAAATATTAACCAGATTGAGCATTCAGAAATTGCTGTCCTCAACTTTTCTAGTTACACATGAAGAGCTAATTGTAAAATTTGATGCAAAATTAAAGACCTTTGTTGTAGGACTTTATTGATCTATTTATAACTTGTTGCAAACTTTGGAGACAGAAAAAAATAATTATATACTGGACATGAACAGCCCTGGATGGCTCCTTTGGGTGTTGTATTATTATATTTTGCCTTGAAAATAAATCCAGTCTGTAGCTATAATTGAGCTATATATTAATTATGTTCAGTTGAGCTCCAGGTGTCATCAGCAAGAAATCAGAATATGTGTTACCACATGGAACTACCACCAGTAGTGGGATTCAACCAGTTCGCACCACTTTGGCAGAACTGGTAGCTAATTTTTTGTTGACTAGGCCCAGAATAGACTTCTGGAAGCAGCATCCACACAGAGAACCAGTTGTTCACATATTTGAATCCCACCACTGACTACCACCAATTGTTATGTTTTCATTGACAGTCAGCCAGCCAATCGAATAGTAAGTATCTCAATTTATGACGAGATTGAAAGCAAATGGTTCTTTGGGACTGGACTTTTGAACCATCAGTTCAGCAATAATTGGGTAAAACTCTAAAACCATGTGCTCTGTGTGTGAATGGCAAACTGATAGATCCTTAAATGAAAGATAGATGATGAAGACATTTCAAACAGAGCAGGCTTCCAAATTCAGTTAAAATGATTTATACAGAAAGTAGTATCCTGCTAACACCTGGGAAGAACTTTCCAAGTTCATTTCTCTCCATTATTTTGTTCTAATCTGGATAACAATCAAGATTGATAGATGTACATTGACAAATATGTAAGACTAAGAAAGCAAAAAAACCACCCTATAATACAACCAATAATATGATACATATTATAATCTGGAAAGCCAGGATTTTTTTCAGTATTTTTTTTTTTGTTATTTTTTTGTCTGTAAAATGGATGGAGAGCAACAGACATCAGCAGAGCCCTGACAATATTGAGTGGTTTTTGGTTGTGGGACCAACGGGTTCCAGGATTTTGCCATCTTTGGTGATGGATGGAATAGCACTACCCCACTCAAACTCAGTACATCATGTTTTAATTCTTCCCAGTTGCTTGAGTTCAAATATGTATATCCACTGAGCTTCAGAACTGAGCAAGGTTTTAATATCAATTATAAACAAAGGTAGGTCATAAATTATGATACCATAGGTTCTTATTTCATTATCATCACATTACATTGTACTTACTTCTCAGGCATCAAAAGATTTTGGATATCTCTCTCCAGAAAAAGCCTATTAACACTATGTAATATACCTGAAAAGTAGCAATATTGATTTAACATTATTTAATCAAGCATACAAAGTATTTGCAAAGATCTGTAAAGGATTCAATTCATAGAAGGAAGGATTGGGGAGTCTTAGAAGAAGAAATCCAGTGTAGCAAAGATTCCTCATTTTCCTTTTTTATATATTTAAATTAGTAGGGTAAAATCTATGACATTTGTCCTCCCGTATCTGTATCATATGCATGGATTTAATATTTAAAGGACTGTTTTCTTCCAGATGATCCTTCCTTCAGGTTTGTGGTCAAGTACTGGGGCATTAGAGTAGTTGCCTCTCAGTGGCAGCTCCTTTTTGGTGACTTTTTTGTTAAATATATAATGACTCCTAAATTATTTTAGCCTCTTTTCTTTCTGACCCACAGATGGCAGCACAAGGCTGTCCTTGTCTAAGCTCAGAAGGAAGTGGAGATGAATTGGAGCAGATTGGATTATACTTAAATGGGTGATACTGGAGAAATCAGGGCTGACGATAAAGTAGAATCTGCGTTCTCTTCTCCTGGTCCATGCTTGAATGACCCTATGATAGAATTTGAGTTTAACTCAAGGAAGGTTTTATGTTTAATCTTATTTTTTTCTTTAACAGATTGCCATGTTATAGTTTCAGATCTGATTTGTTATGAATGTAAGTAAACTAGTCAAGGAGGAGGAGCAGCAGGAGATATACCTTACATCAGTGTTTCCCAAACTTGACAATTTTAAGGCATGTGGACTTCAACTCCCAGAATTCCACAGCCAGCAATGCTGGCTGTGGAATTCTGGGAGTTGAAGTCCACATGCCTTAAAATTGTCAAGTTTGGGAAACACTGCCTTACATAATTAGCACTTGGCTAGGTTCAGTCATGTGGTTTAGTCAGAAAGGACCTTTCAGCATATCAAGGCAGCAGTGTGGGATGAACCCATAACTAATTGGTTCCCATGGCAGTGCAATCACATCTAAAGGGCATCTAAGTCAAGTGCTTTTGTGTGTAATGATTCAACACTGTCATTGTTTAATGGTCTGTGAGGAATACAGCAACAGCTGTTCACATTAGAAAAACAATTTAGGGGATGACTAGAAAAATACACATTCTTGTCCTTGATATTTATATTTATTGGATGTTCATGAATTGATGATTTATACATTTATTTCTTCTGAGTTATCCACTTTACATACAACTCAGGGAAATGTATATAAATAGCATCAGAAACAGCCCGCTTATATTATCAGCTTCTATTAACTTCAGGGCCTCTAATCCATGTTCAAATATTCTATAATATTCTCTATAATAGAGAAGACTTCTTAATTATTTTCACTAAAGGGACTAAAAAAGCCTCTATGTACAGAAATGTAATCAAGACTCAGGATTGGGATGAGTAGCTATTTTTTTTTAAAAAAAGCTTTTGAATTCAAGTTGATAAAACAAAAAACTTTTTTATAATCTCGTTTCTCCTCCATCATTTTAAGTCAATATATTTCCATAAATCAGCCTATTGCCTATTATTTTCTACTTCATATTTCATTTTAAATCAATATATTTTCTGATAAATTTGACTCTCCCATCTTTTGAAAGAACATTTTCTAATAGCAGAGCGCTCAAATAGACTGGCACATTAAAAAAAGAAAAAAGAAAAAAAGTGAGCCTATACGTGTATAAGAGAGAAAAGGAAAGCGAGAAGGCAAATCATGTTGAGTGACTTCCATTACTAAGCAGGATAGATAACTCTGAGAAAATTAATGTGTTTATTTAATAGATTACATTAAAAACAGGAATTGTAATCTATTTAATCTGAAAATTAATTCTGAGATCTTGTCAGTGCACACAAATTGAAGCTGATCATTTAGTTTATTTTCTGATTATGTTTTTAACAAAAGGCAGAAGTAATGTTCTCCAGCATGATTGGATGGAGAACCCACGGATGGGTTGTCTTAATCTATCTGCTCCAATTAGACTAAGTCTGAAATTTAGTACCGCCCCCTCTGTGCCAACTGCACCCCAGTTTTAGACTTAGTCTCTTTGCTCTAAGACGTGTTTTTTCTTCGCTCCTGGAGCAGAAGACTGTGTATTCCTATTTTATTTTATTCCCTTTAGCTTAGTGCTAACCATTTTTATTAATAGATTTGATAATTTAAAAAAAAAAAGAATTTTTTTTTCCAATGATCATCCCAACCTGTAGCCTAGCAGGCTGACAGGCTGACAAACCTCCCTTTGGGGGGGGGACTTTCCCTTTCTCCCTTTGAGAGCCTTTCAGCTTCACAATCAGCTTGAAAATTGGATTCCCAGAAGCAAGAGAAATCTCCTACCAGGGACCATTCCTCTGCATCAGAGGCTCTGTTCTTCTAACCAGAGCCTGGAGGCCTTAGAGGCAGGGGTAAGTTTGCCAATTGACTGGGGGGCTCCGCAAGCGACGACG